GCAGACAGAACAACAGCTTTTACTGTTGTTTCTTGTAGTTCCACCATTTCCAGCCACTTCCCTCCCTTTCCAGGCATGTTGCAGCCCACCACAGCTGCCCTCCACCATTCAACAACCTTCCCGCATTGCTTCCTAACTACTTCCTTCACCGCCGCCGCCAGAAACTGTTGGAAATCCCTATTGAACCTTCCTAGCCACCATGACTTCCGGACTTGCCGCCGCCCCCGAAAAGTCACCTCACTGCTGCCTTCTTCCATTCCAGCCCCTCGGGCCAGCTGATTCTTGTTGTTTTCTGCCTGTTACAGCAATTCCCTGCTTGCTACCCCCCCAGGACAGCAAACTGACGCTGCCTTGTCACTGTTTCCCCACAATCTTGCACCATCCCGACCTTACCTCCACCTTTCCAAGCCCCTAATGGCTACCACCACCACTCAAGATCCACCTAACAGCGTGTTGTGAGCCATGTTGTTGTTATTTTCTATTTTTTGTATGTCGTATGTCGTGTTTGTTGCTATTTCTATTTCAGTTTGTGTAGTTGTGATTTTCTATTTGAGTTCAACAAAAATATTTAATTTTTCTATTGTCGTTTGGGTTACCTCAGGTATTAGGCACGGTCCCCGCACCGCTCTTTATCATAGGCCACTTCCATCCCTTAAGCTTCATACCAAATTAGACACAGGAAACTAACCACTCACACTAAGAATAAAAATTAATCAAAAAGTGATCAATGCCGTCATCAACACCAGCAACCAAAAGAGCCCCATTTTTGCAAATTTAGTGCAAAATTTATGATTGATTTTCAATATTACTTCAATTTTTACAATCACTAAGAACTAAATTGACAAATTAATAGGAATGATGGTTCGTTCCAATTGACATCAGCCAAGTCAATTTCAATAGCTCATACCTTTATGATAGCTATATACGGTAATGCATTGACGGTCTAATAATATCAACTTGCTGCTGGAGAAGAAAATATATTTTTGTTCAAATAATATTATGATGTAATTTTGGCAGAGAGTAACAACAAAGCAAGCGGGTAAGCTTATAAAGCCAATAATTTATGTTGATGTTGGTCCGTCCTATTGAAGACTAAAGGAGAAGTTATCGGTTTACCTTAGACAAATAAGGTGACATGTACATGCATAAGCTGACAAAAAAAAAAAAAAAACATGCAACTCATCTCTAACACACCATTGTTGAATGTTGTATACTGGAACTTAGTCATCAAGATTGACACCACCAAAATAAAGATGATAAAAGAGTAGTTAAGGCTGCGTATAGTTACATAATAGTGTATCTTCAGCTACCAAATGACATCAAAAATGAAGAAAAAAGCATGCCTTCCAAAAGAGTAAGTGGATAAGAACTATCATAAATGGAGAAGCCTCCACAAATCATAATTGAAGAAAGTGTTTAGTGTATGAAAAGAAATCAATATTTAATCAATTTGGCGACCTTGAAAGAGGAGGCATTATGATAAAATTAAGTCAAACAAGTAAAACACCCAAATTATAAATTTGGACATTTGCAGGAGGCTCCTAAGATGCAATGATAGTCTTCGTCTAAAAAATTTAAAATTCACTAGAGTGAATTGCTTCCAAAAAGGAGACCAAAGTTCCGAGATCAGATTGTGATGTGAATGGGCATTGTCAATTTAACTATCCACTTCAAATAAAGTATCCCGTTTCTGTTCAGCATGAATCAAAATTCTACAGGTCGGTGTGTTTAATTTTAGTTACAATCTGTACCCTTCCTAGTACCCAAGAAAACATAAAAACCTTAGCTAAACTGATGCTGTTCATTACACTTATATCCCTACTATTGATGTGCCCACCTAGGTTTGCCATATTGCTTGTTAATATGGGCAGTTCATCTTCTATATGGTCAATAAATTACGGAAACTGGAGCCTGCATTATGCGGGAGTGTGGTTTTTCAAATGCTGGCTAAATTATTTCCTTTCTATGGATTTTAACAGCATCACCACATTTCCACAATTTATAATGCACCTATGAGGCTTGCTTGCTAAACTAAGAGAAGTTTTGCTTCAACAGACATCGGAAAATGATAAGGGCTGATTTGTGAAAATTATTTCATGGAAATAAGTTTTGGTTATCTTACTTTGTTTTGCATAAATTCATGTAATGCATACTAGGTGTCAGGTTGTTTGGACTGGGCTAAGTTACCTTTCACTCATCCACCCATTAACCCTGTCGTGTGCTAGAATATTCTCGGCAGCAGAGGATGAGTTTATCCTCTTACCGTTGCATAGAAATTCAACCAAGAAACAGAAGAGTAAATTGTGGCTCACAAATGCAAAATATTTTTGCATTAAAATTTTTTTAAGGAAAAAATCTACAGAGTTTGGCCTAGTTGAAATACTTTTAACTATGAAGGTTGCAAGTTACAAAGAACTTCTCTGTCACTAAAGAAGACGGGCTGATAAGGAAAGATGATGAGTGCTATATATTAGCTAGTAAAAGATGACGACAGACAACAGACATCAATGCCACGATGAATGTCGGGGTTGCTCTGCATCAATGGGTATCAAAAAACGTTGGAAGTGATACGTCAAGCATCGACGGCATTGATGGTTGTCAATAACTTTTCGTGTCTCGTAATTCTCTGATTCAAGGCCCCATCTAGGATCCTCCCCTTAATGCGGAGAACAAAAGTTTATTAAAAAATTTCTGAAGGGAGATATCCAATCAGTTTCTGTTGGTAATCACAAAACTCCATATAATGATCATAATTGATCCCCTTTGATCATTCAAAATGTTTTAAATATGTTAGTGGCTAATAAACTCAAATTTTAGTGATATTCTACTCCTTGAATTTGCACTGTCAAGACACTTATTTTTGCTATAAGCACCTAAAATTCAGAGTATATTTACGCTCTAAGTAACCTTAAGAAATTTCTAGCTACATTAGGTCTATTACAACTCGGATTAATAAACTTTTTGTATCATTGAGTTTGTCCAACAAAACGCTTGTTTCGACTATAACATTGTTCAAAAAGAAGTTCAGATGATCACTGAAAGTTTTAAGCTCAAATATTTGAATACTTTCTAGATCTAAGAAATTAGCATTAAGAATTGTGCTTGATAAAATGAGCATTTGGGTGACTATATTATGTTATTATTATAAGATAAAATTTTTAATTTTCACACAAACTGTATGCAATTTTCTTTATATTATAAGCGAATAATAAAACAGGAAGTGAACACCGAGTCTATTCTAATCCCTCCTAATTGAAGCTTTTCACCTTTGTTAACGTGGGTTAAAAAACTACATTTATCCACTTCCTATCAAATAAACTGTTGAAATAAATTTTAGAAAAAAAAAATCTGACCAATTTCATACACATGTCAAAACAAAATAACCTTAAAAAAATGTTTTTCCATTTTCTTCATTCGCATTGAATTTATTTGTGAGGACTTACTTTTCAGGAGATATTTTTATTTTTTTTCTTCTCTACTACTCCTTTGTCACCATCCATGTGCTTCCTAAGGCATTCCCATTCACTTCTTAGAGCATTTTCTTCTAATATTATCATGTTGCACTTATCGGACACTAGATTGAATTCAACCCTATTCCTTGATAGAAGAAAGAATCAATATTACCTATCCCCGTCGTTGGAATTTAACTTTATTTATTAAACAGCTAATCGAAGAGAACACCTTCCAGCAACCATACAAAAACAGAAAATTATAATAAGAGGTGCGTAAACATATCGTGAAAGTTTACCACAATTTCTGTCTTTTTCTACAACTGTTCTGGTTTTTTTTCTTCTCAGCAACCATACAAAAGTGGACTTCAGATAAAGAAAATTAGAAGACTTTCACGGAAAACTGTCATGCCCAACCAATCATGCTGAGCCAAACATGACAATTGCATTTCAAACCCTAAACCATTAAAGGCAAGGCAATGTATATTCTTTGGCACTTGAAGTAATATAGTTTCTATTTTAGGTCTTCTCTTCCTACATTTTGTCCTTTTTTTTTCTCATCATGGAAACATCAGGCCTCCACTTGACCTTGATTTCAAACATAATTTACTTTTGATCACTAATCAACATCAACCATAAACTACATTTGAATCAAATTCCCTAAAGATAAAATCTGAGCACCAACTTTTTTTCTCTAAAACTTTATCAATCAGAATTCATATTTCAATTCTTAAACGCTAATTATGTTCCAGAAATCTTCATTCATTTTCCAAAATCTCAGTTCCAGCAGACCTCTCAATTCCTCAAATCAACAATTTCTTTTCACCAAAAAACAATAACAAAAAATAAAAACAACACCGCATACCTTGGGAAAGATTTTATCGAGCACCTGTAGTGCACGCCTCGAGTTCCAGCCAATATATCCGCGCAAAAGAATGTCAGCCTAAAACCCGAACAAATCAACCAAAAAATAAAAGAACTGGAGCCGACAAGAACGGATTGATGTGAGAAAAAACGAACTAGAAACCTTGCGCGCGTAGATGTCAGCGAGAATGGAGCCCCATCCGCCGTTGCTGAAGCTGTACTGAACGATCGAAGACCCGAAGAGAACGAAAAGTGGCCGGTTTGGTCCTACCATGGCTTCAACTCTTCTTCCGTCTTCTCTCCTCCGATCTTCGATTCTGGAATGCGGCGAGCAACTCGGCGTAGGAGAAGCTCCCTGCCTCAACGGCGCTGAGCTGCCGTTCGGGTTTCGCTTTTATTGCAGATTGCAGGGATTGATGGCCAACAACTTTACCAGCGCATTTGCCTCTACTTCCAACTACAGCATAGTTACTGGTCCGAAACGGGAGCGGGGACGAGTGATTAATTCCATCTACAACTACAAGTTACAAAAATGCGCTTTTTAAATTTCCAAAATAGTATTTTTATGTTCTAGTTCGGTAGTTAAATATTTTAAACTTCTTATGGGGTTTTTAGGAGTTTACTAAGGGCATGCATCTCTAATAAATAGCTGTTTCAGCCATAAATCCTTGATTTACTAAATTCAGTTATATTAAATTTTGATTTGTTCATGATTCTCACTCAAGAAATAAAGTGTTAAGACAGAAAAGAGTGATAGAAATAAAATCACGATAATGAACAATAATTTGAGAGAAGTGTGCAATCCTTTATTTATAGAATCATCCCTTTTGTGGGAGTACACAAAAAGTTGAGAAAATATGATAGATGATGTTAAATGATGGTTTCATGCAACCCTTTATTGATAGCAGTTGAATGATGATAGTCAAATGATAATGAATGGATGGTGATAATTGAGTAAAGATAGTAAGATGATTAAAATTGAACAATGACTAACGTGAAACAATAGTTAGATAATAGTAGATGGACAATAATGATCAAATAAAGATAGTTGGATAATAATATTTAGATGACGAAAGATGTGGGTGAAGATCTAGAAAGAGGGTCAAATGGTGATAACTAGAGACAATCATTATCAAACATCAAGTAGAGTTATATAGTTCCATAGATCTTAGAGCTCTCTTCTTTAAACTTTAGGTTAAGATTTATACTCTCTTTTATGTAGAGAATTTTAGTCCAATTTTAATATTTTTTTCCAAAATATTATTTGGTAAATTTCACCAAAATAACACAATGCTACATCAAATGGCGTATGTTGATTTCTTTTTATGATATATCATTTTTTTTACCATGTAAGTGTTTTAATGATCTCATAATTAAGAAAACTTAAGCTTGTTAATTTTTATCATTAAATTACTTCTTTTTTTTTTAACATACGACAATCATATATTATTTGATGCTTGATATGCCATCAACAAATTTTCCCATTTAGCATGCAAGTTGAGGCATTTGGCATAAATCTCGAGGTAGTTTTTAAGCAAAAAAATATTCAAACTCAAATTAAAATTACCAAGAACTCTAACTTCAGTAAACTTACTGTCAAACAAACCGACTGAACAAGACAAACCTAATGACACCAAAATTGATCAAATCAGAGTCAAATCAAGCCAGTTTGACTCTATAATTAAGTGATTAAAAGATGAACAATATAATAAAAAAATATTTATAGAAGACGCAAACAACAATAACGTGATAAATTTAAATATACTGTTTTAATTTAAATTGATTAATGACTCTTTCATTAGTTAAATTATAGATGAATATAAAAAAATTAATTTTCATCATTCGACCATCTATTTCCGTCTCAGTTAATGCCAGATCCTAGGTCAGGTAGTGACAAAAGTAATGTCCGAGCTCAAGGTTTAGGATTAATTTACATAATCTTGATGAAAGATTCATTAGAGTAATTATAAAAAAATTAATAATAATAAAATTAAAATTTCCAAATTTTGAGGATGAAATTTTGCGAAGTAGGTAAGATTGTGAGGTCTCGTTTCAGTTAGTAAAGGAAGAATAAATAACAAGTTAGAAGAGCAAATAAAGAGTCGAATAGGGGGGGATGATGCGAGTAGTAGAAAATTGAAAACGGGGAAAAGAAGTGAGTATTCAGGAAACCAAACAGCGAGGAGATGAAGCGAGAAGTGTCAGAAAGCCAATGAGGTGAAATTTTTCCTATAAATTGTTGAACTGACATGCATATTGCTTTCTTTTTTTTGTATTATTGTAGTTTAAGAATACAAGTATTCACTGACTTATTTAGTTCATCACTATTTTAAACTAATTTTTTAATTTTAATTAAATGAACAAAAGCTGAGCGATAAAAGGAAAAATATTTATAGAAGGCACAGACAACAAGTAACAAGATAAATTTGAATATATTTATTTAATTTAATTTTATTAGTTTCTCTTTCAACTATTAAATTATACATGGATATAGAAAATTTAATTTCAATTGTTTGACCATCTGTTCCTGTCTTGACTGATTACAAGCCCCGAGCAACAACTATGACCTACGTGGTTTAAAGCTAATGCAGCTCCCAACTCTGATCTTTGTGGCCCACAAATGTTATTATAGCTCAGCTCCATAAACTATGTGACCAATTACAACCAACATAGCTCATAACTCACGTAGCTCCCAACTCCAACTGTTGTGGCATGCAAACGTTATTGCAATTCATCACTACGACATATGTGACCAATTATGGCCCACGTGACTCATAGCATGTTTAGCTCCTAACTCCAACCATTATGGCTTATAGACATTATTGCAGCTCTCAACTCAAGCTCTATGGCCTATGGATGGCATTGTATTTCACCACAGTGACCCATGTGACCAACTGCAACCTACATGATTCACAACTCTTATTGCTTCCATCTCGAGCCTTTGTCGCCTATGGATGTTAATGTATTTCCCTACTATGGCCTACATTGTAGACTACTATCATTACAAACCTCCGCTAGGACCCCAACGGTCAACTAAAACTATTACAACTTACCACTACGACATAAGTGACCCACTACAGTCTATGTGGCTCACAACCAATGCAACTACTTTAGCCTCTAAGGCCAACGAACTTTAGTGCAACTCCCTACTATAGTCTAAATGGTTGATTGTTTTCATTACAACCCTTTATTATAACATTTATGGCCAGTCAATGATACCTAGCTCATCACTACAATCTATGTGGCCAATTACAACTTACATGGCTCACATTTCATGCAACTTCCAACTATGACCTTGGTGACCAATTGATGTTATTACAGTTCTCCACTATGGCCTTTGTGGATAACTGACGCTCCAGAAGCTACCAAAAACTATCCATAAGGCCAACTACTGCTACGACTTTCAACTAAGGCCTCTACGATAAGTTGAGGCTATTACAACCACCAACAACTACATTTGTTGTAGCCCATATATGGCTATTAAAGCAAGACCAATATTTTTCTTCTATAATTCTATCTTTCCTAATTAAAGAGAAAAATAGACATATGTACTCACAATTACATTGTGGCCTACTTCGACAGGGCCTAGCCCTGTAAGTTTTTCCCTCCCTGGGATTTACCGCATAAAAAGTGCAGAGTCTTCTTCTCTTACCTCTCTATTATGTGTGTATACTGGATATTCATACAACACTCAGATACTAATTTATTATTTTACCACCGTAAATCTTCTAGAATGCAACAATCTACAATGATTATTGCAAAGTCTTTACTTATGATTTAAGTGCTTGATTTGGGATCATTTAAACCCAAATCAAACCACTTTTGGCATCGCTGGAATCATCTCATTGAGATTTTTAGTTTGAAGTTAAATTTTGCTAAAAATGGAGTGTATAAGGTCTCATTACCCTACCATTGTTGCATGTACATCATAGCTTGACTATCATTATTATCCAATTATTGTCATCATTTGACTTTCATTTTTTTTCCTCCATCGCCCGACTGCTATCATTTGACCACCATCACCAACAATCAACTCATTTCCACAACAAACCAATTATCATTGTCCAACCATAATCTCTAAATCATTTTGATTGTCATTACTTGATCGTCATTTCTTAACTGAAATTCTCACTCTCCACTACTTGATTTTTTATTACTTTTGCAAGAATCAATAATATGTAACAAAATGATCTCCAAATAAAAGAAAAAATAGATTTTTGTAATCTCAATCCAAACAATTGGTCATTTCATCTATGCTAGGCTTTGTGACTTTTTCTATTTTCAATACTTTTATATATATAAAAAAAATTATATCTCCTGCGTTCTTTTCACTTATCTATTGTGTACAAGCTCTCTATGCTAAGTTAGATAGAGCACAAGGCTCTCTCTATTGTGACATCTTTTTTAGCACATAACAAAAATCTATTCATTAAAATTATAAAATAATAAATTTTAAAGCATTTTAATTTATTTGAAGGCAAATATAATCTAAAAATTAAATAAATATCCTTTATCATATTTAGATTAAAATGAATTCAAAATTTTGTAAAATTTAATTTTAAATTTACATTAGAACAAATATAATAAAATTTAATTGCATGTTTATATATTGGTCCCATTTTAAAATAAATTTATTTTCTTTGTAATATTTGGTCAATTTATCATGATACAAAAATATTATTTCATATGTTATAATACATTCAAAACTATAGAAAATAGATTAATAAGTACCAATCCTTAAATTATTTTTAAGTGAAAAATCATTTAGCTTTTTGTCCCATCTTCACAACATCCAACCAACCAACCAAACCAACCCACCGACACTTAAATCACTTGCATTTATTTTAAGAAATAAAAAAAAAAAACATTTTGTTTTTAGAAATCATAATTTTGCATTGTCTTTATATCAATAAATTACTCCATTTATCTTTTTATTTCTTCACTTAATAATATAATTTGGATTTTATGTTATTAATACTTGCATTGGATATGGTCTTTTAATAATTAATTTTTTTTATTATTTATAAAATGAGATTTAATATATATGATCTAAATGTAATCGGAATGAGTTTTAATTTTTTTTTTGAATTTATTTTAAAGGAGTATAATATATAAATAAATAATTATTATTTTGTTAAAGATATCCGATAAAATCTTTTGAGTTAATCGGTCGACCTCACTTGCTAATGTGACTGCTAATGTATACCAGCCGTCGAGCTAACATGAAGAACTGGTCCGCCGAATTTATCTATAGAGTTCATCTGGTGAACTGATCGATCAACTTCTTTCGTCAAGTTCGCCTAATTGGCAGTACTTAAATTTGATAGAACACAAAAGTTAAGATTGGCATTCATAATGAATATATGCTCGTCCTCATTTATGCGGTGCTTGACACCATGTCACGATCTTTTCGTCAGGCTCCATTGGTGGGTTTGAGAGACCGCGACTCATATTTTATTATTTTTCTAAGGAAATATGAATAAAGAAGAAATAAAGAGATCTAGGGAGG